CCAAATGGGGCCACACCCATTGAAATTTAAAAGAATGAGAAGGTGACCCCATTGAAATCAAAAGGATTCTGAGGAAGTTTGACAGGTTGAAAGTTGAGAGAATGCTCCCCCTCATAGGAAAACATAGAAGTGTTCAAAAGTATAGGGACTCCCACTTATGACTGAGATGAAGGGGTTTCTCTGCTTTCAATAGGACCACAGAGATCAGGCTCATTGAATATATTCAAGACTGAGTTAGATTTGTGTTCTGGAGGTGCTGGCAGGAAAATAAAGTTGAAGCCACAATCATATCAGCCACAAATGTTGGCATATCTTAAAGGTCCGTTTAGCTTAGCCATGATCTATTATGAACAAGAAAGCAAACTTTTCTCTTTGCACATAGCTATCCCTTGTCTAGCGCCTTAATGCTTTCCAAAAAAGCATGTGATAAGGGTGGGTTATTCCTGACCTGTAATTTTTATACTAAAAACCTATTGGTTTTCATGAACCTTACTGGACAAAACAGCATCTTTCTACTTGCCTGCTTTTCACCCTCTTGCTCTGTTTATCTTGATGTATTTGCCCCCTGTCATTTGCTTTCTCAACTTTACTGCCTTCCATTCACTGACCATCACCTGACTCCCTCGCTGCTTCCTTCTCACCATCGCCCTCCATAGTCCTCACTCACAGCAAGAGCTCAGGACAGATGCAGGAGGGAGGCAGTGAGCAGAAGCAAGTGACAGGGTTCAGTGAGGCAAGTGAGCAAGTAGCAGCCAACAAGGGGGTAAGGAGAGATGGCCAGTGGGAGGGAGTGAGGTGGCCAAGACAGGAAGAGAGCTGGGAAGGGAGCAAAGAGTTTGGAGAAAGCAACAACTGAAACAATGAGGTCTTTAAAAAAACAGAATGAGCATGTAGAATTACAATTCTTGGCACTTGGGTGAATATAAAAATGGGGGAAGTATTGACAGCTAAGTTATGTTACAAACCATACTAAAATGAAACTGTGGTATGAGAAATTCCTTTAAACTGTGAATACCTGTATTTAGGGGGCATCGGTTAGTACAGTTAACTGAATGGCTGGTTTGCAATGCAGAGTGATACTAACCGCATGAGTTCAACTCCTGTGCTGGCTGAGATTATCATGAAGGACTCTCCTTCTCAACCTGTCCCTCATCTGAGGTGTGGTGACCCTCAGGTTAAACCACCACAAGTGTTTTCTCTCCAATAGGAGAACAGCCCAATGGTCCAGTAGGGCAGTGGCAACTCTACCCTCTTACTTTTATTTAAATAGGATTTTCACCCCAACTGAAATATCTTGATTTTATTTCAGTAACTTTTAAACAGCTACCAACTCATGCATTGAAGAAGCAGTTGCTCTTAATCAAATGCAGTGATCAAAATGATGCCAGCAATTAGGTCAATTAGATGATTGTATTTTTGTGGAAAAATTGTATCTTGTTTACATCGAGACTTAATTGGGTGGCATTAAATGACAATACAATTATTGAGAGACATCCAATTGTTATTAAACAGTAGTTTAATGGGCATAAAATTTATTTCTACTTATACATTTCTTGCTGTTGACATCCAATAATCAATTTGCAGACAGTCAGGAAAGTTGCTGGTTGCTTCCTTTATAAACCATCCTGTCATCTTCAAAAGCTCTAAAGATATCTAGCAACAGAAGGTGTGGATTTCTGAAACCAGCCAACTGTGAACATGAATAGTTGCACAGGTTACTATTCAGGATACAATTGGTGGTAAAGCCAGTGCTAGATACTAACAACAGGAAAAGCTAACCACAGGCCAACTTAGTCTGAGCTGTAGGATTTACAACTCAATAGGAACATCTGTCTTTTATTAGCAATTTAAAATCAGATGATGTATAATCTTGAATTGATTGACCAGAAGGGACTAGTTTCCAAAAAAGATCTTGACAGCTACCACAGGGGGAATCATTTTAGGAATGCATTTTCAATTCAAACTTGTAATGTGACCATTGTGTTCTGGTATTACAATGTCTGATCATGCTGATTCTATTTTTGAACAGAAGATTTATCAATTATAATGAACTCTTAAGGCTCTTCTGGCACAGTGGCAGTCTCCCAAACCCTGGATCAGAATGCCTGGGTTCAAGTCCCACCTGCACAGGTTGATTTTCAAAAAATCTATAATGAACTTTTGTAACCATGGAACCTGTCTGTTCTGATACAAAGGTCTCAAACTCAATCCAAATAAATAATAAAAATGCATACATGTAATTTCACTCGATCGATTTCAATTGTTGAATTGCCACAGGACTGGACTCCTGACCCAGGTAGTTAAATATAAAGTGCTGATCCACATGTAAGAGCCCCTATTTAATCATATTTTCAATGCTCAACAAACTGTATTTCGACAACCCACTACCTAGTTTCCACTCACAGCAGTAGAACTTCTAAAAAATATTTTTTAATCAACTGCAAGCAGACTTAACAGTAAAACTTCACCACATATTTCATACATCCTTCATCAACTGCCTTCCTTAGCGACACCACCAGTAATAAAGGCAACACCTCCCCAGCAGCTCAGGCTCAAGCATGTTCCAAACTGCCTTCATGAGTTAATTTCCTCATCCCATGTGCCCAGCAGACAGCTAGCTGCAAATTGCGTCAGATATTATAAAATATGAAATCAATTGAATCTTTGTGTGTTGGAATAGAACAGTGATGTAACCCCAATGGCAGAAACTCCCTTAGAGTACAACCGTTGCCAGGAGTAGAGCATCAGTGAATTTACCTTGCAGTCTTCATGCTTATTTTTCCTAGTTGTCCATCCCATTCTTCACCTGAAATATATTCAGCTTTTATTTTGTGAATGCCAACATCTCCACCGAAGGACCTGTGCCCCATTATTTTCATTTAAACATATTTGCGAAAGGCCAGATCAAATGGGATGGAGGCATAAATATAGCAGGTTATCTTTTACGTTCACTCCACCATGCTTATATAGTTCACTTTGATCAACCAGATACATTCTGACGAACTGAATTGAGTTTGACATTTCTCAACACTCAAAAGGCATGGTTTTGGTTAATAATAAACCAAGGATTTTCCGAGAAATTTGGTTCATAATTTCTGGTGGATGTTAGATCATGATTGAGATGTCAGTAAAATCATTTTAGATGGTGGCTTTTGTTTCATATCTTTTCTGCGAAACACTTCAAGAGGTTTTACTACATTAAAGAGATTGTACACATGTACTTTGTTGTCATGGTCTTAATTTGAAACCAAGAAATCAATTGGGCAAGTGTTCCTGACTTTTTTTGAAAGGTATGGGGGTGGATGTGTTCAATGGTAACTAATGGGCACCCCTAACACTGAGAAAACATATCCCTTCACTGCCAATGAGCTTACTAACAGAGACGCTGAGAAATCCACTAGTGCTTTGCCTTTCAGGACCTTGACACTAGTGTCACAGGTCTCCTGAGGCTTTTGGGTCCTAAGAATCACCAGCCAAGCCCTATTCCTTGGAGCGTCAAGCAAAGAGAAGACTTTCTGAGTTTTTTGGTGGAGGGTCAGTGTTGTGGCAAGCTTGGCACAAGGGCAGGGGTGTCTTTCAGAGGTGTCTTACCTTTGTCCCCTATCCATGTCCCAATTTGCCTCCAGATTGGGGTAATTGAAGTATCTGTCCATCCAGTCAGCAGGTTGCCCTGGTTTCTCAGTTAGGATGCTAGCCACCTTTCTCACCTAACCAAGAGGGCAGGTACTCAGGGAGGTGGTGGGTTGAGTCCCTTAAATAGCCATTAATTGGTGACTTAAGGGCCATCATTGTTAGCAAGTCAGGAAAGTGCCCAAGGGACTCTCTTTCCCAGAATTTAATTCATGAGTTAGCAAGAGTATCTCTCCAGTACCTTTTCGACACTCTCTTGCTACTCTCTCTTACTGACACATTCAGCCTGATTTTTCAATTAGGCTTACTTTAACTTGTAAAATTAAGTGGGTAAATTTTTTATGTTTCAGAGATTCAGAGGTTTTCAATTTGTGAAGAACAGACTGGATCCTATAAACATGTATTAAAAGAACTGATATATATAAATAAGTACCTTAGTTTCTTAATTTTATTGTTCTCACCAAATCTAACATTCAATCGTATGCCAATGTTGAGGTGTTTATAAATGTTGCCAGGCTAAATTCATCCATCTGTGCCAATTTAACTGAGTTGGGCATGTAGAGTCATAAAGTTATAAAGACCGGAAACAGACTCGTTGGTCCAACTTATCCGTACTGAGCAGATATCCTAAACTGATCTAGTGACGTGTGCCAGCATTTGGCCCATTTCCCTCTAAACCTTCCTATTCACATACCCATCCAGATGCCTTTTAAATGTTGCAATTTTCCCAGCCTCCACCATTTCCTCTGACAGCTCGTTCCATACACTGCTCAGCAAGCTGCAAATATGAGCTGATAATTCTATCAATTGCTTAGAAAAATTCCTGAAGCATGGCTAGCCTTGAGATAGATGTGGTTACTCAGCAATGCTGATGTAAAATGTTAACAATTACATTTTAAAATCCATAAAGGTACAATTTATAATAAGCTCCAATAGATACATCCTTTGAAACGTGGACATGCATTAATTTCATGACTATTACTTCCTATTAGCAAAAGGAGAGCCAAATTTCTTGGCATAATTTCAGAATAGTGTACCCTGCATAGGATATCTACACTAATATCAAAATTATTTTATGCTCATGGGCAACAAGCTTGACTACTTAAATATCTATGAACTTATAGGTGCACAATTTGAATTAATTGGAATCTCTCTTTTGATGCCTCCTTTTCCTTTAAGAAAAAGAGGTGGTGGGACTAAGTACAACTTTCAAAGAACCAGAAGAGATGTGAATGATCTGTCTCTGTACACCAAGCTACTACATTTTGATGGAGTGTGAGTAAAACAGGGATTTAGAAATCATTTTTTCACTTGGTGATGATAGTGTGTCATTAGAATATAGAATTCATGACTAAATATCCATGACCTACCTTGGTTCTGTTGTTGCTGCTGTTGTTGCTGCTGTTGTTGCTGTTGTAGTTTCTGCTGTTGCTCCTGTAGACTCTGACTGTCTACTGAGATTCCACTATCATTGTGCAGCTTCTCACCCTCTGGAGATGGCGTCTGGTTTACTGTTCTGTTATTGGCTCCTTGCTTGTTTTGCTTACAGCTGTTCCATCTAAGGAAAACCAGCCACACACCACAATGAGCTGAGGAACTTTAACATCAACTTCATTGCACAAGAGAGGAAAAGAGAGAAGTGACGAGTTACATTGAAGGAAATGCATAAGGGAGAGGACTTATCCATGTAAGGAAATGCAATATGAGCCAAAATTTAAGCTGGGAAACTGTGCAACCAATTCATTTCGAGGGAAAGTACAAAGAGCAACAAAGATGAATCCAGCCAAGATGACTAAGCTTTGAAGACAATTTGTATTTGTGGGGGTTTCTGTACAAAGGGTTCTGTAGCAAGGACAAGAGAATGGCTTTCAGCTCCAGCCCGTTCCCAAAACTCTTGTCACTAAATTAGGAACAGAATGTCTTTAAAGGAAATGGTGGGAAGGCTGTCCATAACCAATCAAAGTCTTTGGTTCTTGCTGCAAACCCTTCTCCTTATCACAGAGACCATCACTATCAAGGGGACTGCCTGAGTCTGAACTCAGCTTGGCATCATACGTGACCCTGAGGTAAAGAGTGGATTTTCACAAAGTCAGTGGACTTTGCTAATTGGGCCAGCACCTAATGCCCATTCCTAGTTGCCGTTGAGAATGTGGTGGCTATTATTGACAACAATTGGCGGCCACGTCTTTAGCTGCTGAAGCACTAACCTCAGGAAATCACTCCTTGGATATGTCCATCTCTCAATACCTCTTGTCCTTCTTAAGACCTATATCCTGAACAAACTTTTGGTTATTTGTCCTAATATCTCCTCATGTGGGCCAACATCATTTTCTTTTTGATAATGCTTCTGCGAGCATCTTAGAAAAACATTTTAAAGGTGTTTTATTAAATATAATCTGTTAATATTATTCTGAGCCAGAATTAATAACTTTGGCCCTCTACCAATACTTCCAAGGTCACCTTTCAGGACCCAGAAAGAGGTCTGTGTGTGAAAATTCTGAAATTAATGAAGGAGAAGGTCAGGTATATGAGAGTGAATGTAACAAAAAAAAAATCAAAGCAAGTGTGCACAACTGAACAGTTTTTTCATGACCCTCTGCTATGATAAATATAAGCACAAGATGATTGAGAGAGGTGTCTAAATAGAGTTATGGCCATAGAAAGGGCAACAGGAAGACAGTGGGAAACAGCTGCAATGAATAAAGCATCAAGCCACCGTCAGAAGACAAACAGTCAAATTATGAGAGAAGTAAATAATACTACTTAACAGAAAGTGAAGGAAGTGAATAAACAGCATGACTTTTGAAATGCTAATCCATAATTAAATCAACATTAAGCAAATTACAATTTCAAATGCAAAGTTGTAGATTGCACTGTGCTGTATAACCCAGTTTTGGCACATAATCCCCATTCATTGCAAATTAGTGACCTACATTACATCACTTGTCAACTATACACGTATCATTAAAAATGGAGTTACTGAAAACACCAACCGTTTGAAAGCCACATAGGCCACTAGTCCCACTACCACTGCGGCCAGGATAGAACAGTAAACAGGAATGATGTTGTCAGTGTTTCCTTGCCCAATAAACTGTGGAGAGCTTGGCACAGCTGGGGTGGTCATTATCTCTGTTGTTGTGATGGTTTTCGGAGATACATCTGTCTTTGCAGAAATGATTCTTGGATTGTAAGCTGTTTAACAGAGAAAAAAGATCTCTTTACTTTTTTTGTAGCACAATAAATTATATTTTATCTCAAAATGATTTTCTTTTGTAATTCCTATGCATATATAGAGTAGCATGATTGCTATATCCTATAATTAACAAATTCAAACTCTGCTAATCAATAGTCTCATAATTCTATCTACATCCAGATAAATGTCACTATCAGCTGCAATCTTTTACAGTCAATTTAATTCCAATAATATACCATTCAAATCCCTTAAATAAAATTGGTGACATGATTCCAGCACTAAATTAAAGAAATTAGGAATACATTGCAAATGTTCACAGCTCTTTATTACTGCAAGATTGTAAGCAAGGATGACTTCATCATGGAAACTGACAATAATGTAAAACGATGACTGGGAGATAATGTCAATTATTGAATCTCACATCCAAATCATGTTAAACTGAGCTTTAGTGGTTTTCATGACTACAGCATCTTGTCATAATGTCTGTGATGAACAGCCAACCTTCAGGATACAGTACAAAGAGACAGTGGACATCACAATAATAAACATTACAAATTTACTTGGCTACGATTTTATTATGGGGTGTGATTCAGATTGCATAATGTAAGAGAAAGAGGTAAGGAAATTATAACTGAAGAAATTCAGAATAAAACTAATATGGGCATGAACATAAAAATAATTAAAGATGAATGCATTTATTTCGTTCTTTCCTAATTTTTTTCTAATAGGACAAAAGATGACCTAACAGACCCTCCATTCTGATCAGTTATCGCATTCTCAGCTATAAGAACGCTATAGGAATTCAAGTCCCAAAAAGCAAAGCTGCATTCTAGTACATTACAGAATGTACTGTCAGAAGTGTTGGTTTTTGGATGAAATGTTTAATCAGGTGTCCACTTATGGACATAAACACTCACGTGACATTACTTCAAAGGAGAGTTAAGTGAGTTACCCCTGGTGGCCAGGCTAATATTTATCCCTAGATCCACAGCACAAAAACAAACTGCAATCTTTTAATGTCGGAGCTTGCCATGTGTAAATATTGTGCTACTTTTCCTGTGTTAAACAATGACTACATGTCAAAAGTACATCTTGTAAAGTGCTTTGACTGTCTTGAGATCATAAGAGGCACTGTATAAATACAAGTCTATTTCAGTTCTGAAGAAGAGTCACTGAACTTGAAACATTGATTCTGTTTTCTCTTCACAGATGCTGACAGACCCACTGAGTTTTTCCAGCAATTTCTGTTTTTGTTTGTTGCAGACCTCCAGCACCTGCAGTGCTTTGTTTTATTCTAGTTTTCTCTTATTCCAACGCAAACATGGATAGTGTTAACCAGTTTGTATTGAGAACAGATTCAAAGCAGTTCCAAAGAAAAGTTACATTTGACTCAAAATATTAGCTTTTGTTTCTCTCTTCACAGATGCTGAGTTGGTCTCGTACTTTCTGGGTTTTTTTGTTTTGTTCAGCATCCACAGATTTGAATGTTGTATTATTAGGGTAACTGGTTCAAGATGGTAGCAGCTTGAATTTGACAAAATGTTAGTATGGGTAGACAGTCAATGCATCATGGAATTCAATGTTCGGGAATTAAGTACTAGTTACACAAAATCATTCAATGTTTACATCTGTGGACAAAAGGAGCTTCATTGCTGTTTTAGGAAAGATCAGAGAGCATGAGACTCACGCATTATTTTATATCCCACACAAGTGGAATGTCATTATAAATAGAGTAACATTATTATGCCACTTTTGGACAGTTCCCATTGAAAATCTGCAGCAGTGACATTTCACCAGGAATGTTAAAATCCTTCGTTTGTTTCATGAAACAGATGGATCTTTTCCCTAACCTTTGATTTAACTGGAAATAAAACATAAGCAATTTGACACCTTCTGTCCTAATTGATTGTGGTAATGCCCATAACAAAAATAATTATCCAGCCGCATTCCTAGGAGCGAAGCCACCAACAATCAAAATTCTGCTCTCCTCAAGTCAATACAGTCTTTCCCCCAGAATGCTAGCTGATCATTCTTGGTTATTTCCCTTTGAGATTTGGGTTTTAACGCAGCTCAGATTGTTGTTTGTTGTCTGGAGGCCACATGGATCGTAATGTGACAAGACCTGAACTCGTCTCAATCACTGGGATATAAGTCTACAACAGATAGCAGATACTAATTTGGCAATCTCACTCCTAAAGACTGCCTAATGCAGGGAAATGGGTGGAAAAAATGTTCTCAAAAATTTGGATTACCCTTCTGAAATTAAGGCACAATGTTGCTTGAAAGTGGAGGAACTTTTAGTCTGCTTCTAACCGTGCTACATGCCTGGAAGTATTTGATATTGGACACAGGTCACTTGAAATAGAAGGTATTCTATTTCCCAAGCATACAAATTGCAATTTGTAAAAAATAAATTAATTGAAAGGCACCTGAGAAAGGGCCTTTGCTATATCCAAAGCCATTATTTCAAAGAGAATGAAGTATGAAAACACAGAACTCTTGCTAAAACTATGCAAAACACCAATCAGACCTCAGCTGGAATACTGTGAACAGTTTTGGGCCCCTTACCTAAGGAAAAATATATTGACACTAGAGGCAGTCTAGAGAAGGTTCCTTAATTGTTGACATAAAGGGACTGTTTTATGTGGCGAGGTTGAGTAGATTGTCCATATATTTATTGGGAGTTTAGAAGAATGAGAGGCACCTTATTGAAACATCCAAGATTCTTAGGGTGCTTGACAGGGTGGGCATGACAACAAAGTGACCAGCCACTTACAGCCTTCTTGAAGGCCAGCCCTGGATGTTGATCAGTGACCCAATTCCATGGAGTTGACCTGATATAGACCCAGCGCCCTACCTGATCACATGGAGATCCAACGTCGTGGTCCGACCAAATGGAGAACAAGACGCCCTAGAGAGCTCAAGGCTGCAACCAGGACCCTACTGGACACACCCACTTACCTTCTGGAATGGCAGACAGTCCATTCCGACTCCTGGACACCTTACCCAGGAAATGTGGGAGACACGCTGGCCTGCAGGTGAGCCTGAAACAACACAGTTTCAAGTTCCCCTTCCCCAGCATACTCCTGGCAAATATCCAAGCCATTGAAAACAAGCTGGACTCACCTATCAAAGGGAACTGAGAGACTGCTGTGTGCTGTATTTTGCAGAGATATGACTCACTCCTGCTTCACCTGACTGTGCCATACAATCTGAGGGCTTCTCAATCCACCCGATGGACTGCATGGCATCCTCTGACAAGACATAGGATGGAGCACTGTGCCTCCAATCAACACCTCTTGGTGCTTGGATGTGATGACCTTGGTGAGTTACTGCTCCCCAGGCCTAGAATATCTAACAGTGAAGTGCTGTCCCTATTACCCGCCACAGGAGTTTAGATCCCACCGCGTGTGGAAGTGAAAAGTACACATGATGAAATATAAACCACTGTAAATAGACTGGAGACAGAATACCCTGCAGCCTTGTTCATTGTAACTGGTGACTTCAACCATGTCAACCTCAAGAATGTGCTACTAAGATACCAGCAACATGCCTCCTGTCCCACTAGAGGTCGAAACACCCTGAACCATTGCTACACAGTCATCAAAGACGCCTACTGCCCTAACCCCCGCCCACATTTTGGTAAATTAGGCCATGAAGCTGTGCTCCTTCTCCCGGCTTACAAGCAGAAACTGAAGTGTGAGGATCTGGCACAAAAAACTGTACAATGCTGGTGTGAGGTAACGGACAAGCTCCTACATGACTGCTTGGAGTCGATGGATTGGTCCATATTCAAGAACCCTGACCTATACAGGAAATCCAGGTACAATCTTTGCAAAACCATCAGGAATGCCAAGGAACAATACCAGACTAAACAAGAGTCCCAGACCAACTACACAAACACAGTCAACTGTGGCAAGGTTTACATGATATAACAGGCTACAAAGCACAGTCTAATAGAGCTCAATGCATTCTATGCTTGCTTCGAACAGAAGGTGGGTGAAATGATGTCACCTACCCCAACAACCTCAGGTGCACCTGTACCCATGATCACCGCTGCACTTGTCAGACTGACCTTCTTGAGGACGAACCCATGGAAAGCAAATGGCCCAGATGAAGTGCCTGGCTGTGCACTCAGATCCCGCAGGGACCAGCTGGCATGATGATTTTCCAACATCTTTAACTCTTCTTACTACAATGGAAGGTTCCCGCCTGCTTCGAGAAGACCACTATCATCCGGGTGCTAAAGGAAAACCAAGTAATGTGCCTCAATGACTACCACCATTATGAAATGCTTCGAGTGGTTAGTAATGGTACACATCAACTCCAGCCTCCCAGATTGCCTTAATCCACTATTGGTCCACAACAGATGCCATCTCCTTGGCTCTACAGTCATCCCTGGAACATGTGGATAACAAGGACACCTACTTAAGACTCCTATTTATTGACTACAGCATCGCCTTCAACACCATAATTCTATCAACCCATCTCCAAACTCTGAGACCTAGGGCTCTGCTCCGCCACTGCAACCAGATCCTCGACTTTCTGACCCACAGAGTGCACTCAGTAAGGGTAAGCAACAACACCTCCTCCATAATAATCTTCAACACCAATGCCCTACCGGGCTGTGTACTCAGCCCCTTAAATACTCCTTCTGCATACACAACTGTGTGGCCAAATTCAGCTCTAACTCCATTTACAAATTTGCTGATGACACCACTGTAGTGAGTTGGATCTCAAACAATGATGAAACAGAGTAAAGGAAGGAGATGGACAGCTTAGTGGCATGGTGTAAAGGCAGCAATCTCTCTCTTTCAGTGTCAGAAAAATGAAGGAGCTGGTCATCGATTTCAGGAAGCCAAGTGGAGGACATGCCCCTGTCTGTATCAATGGTGCTGAGGTGGAGTTGGTCAAGACCTTCTATTTCCTAAGAGTAAATATCACCAACAAGCTGTCCTGGTCCATTCACATCAATGCTACAATTAAGAAAACATATCAT